GGAGTCTGAACTCTGTGACCGTGGTGTCTGCAGAAGACTGAGCAGATAAGAGAAGGTCATAGGCAAGGGAAATATGAAAGGGGGCTGGAATGAGCATTTGAATGTTAATACTTTTGAAATAGCAGGTGTTTGAGCATTGCTGATACTGTATCTGTTTCAGTTTGAATCTAAATCTAAATCAAATTACTGATCTCTTGAAACCTAAAGCCCAGATGAATGCTCATTTCCACCCCCATCCTCTTGCCAGTAGGCCATGACTCAAACTTGGAGGGAAGAAGGAAATGATGATAGCACGTACATTTTTAGCTATATATCAAGCTGTCCCATATTCCTGCACCTTCTCTCTGTCCTTTATATTTATATTTATATTTTATAAAAATCTATGGCATTATTGTTTTGTCTCTTAATAAAATGGCTACTGCTTGTATCTTAGATTTATGATTATAGAAAGTGATGCTATTCAGTTCCTCTGAGCCATACTGGCGTTCTGAAAACCTCTCATTTTTCTCCTGCTGGTTATTAATCCTTAGAATAAGAAACAAGGTACATAATACTCCAAGGACTGTCTAGTTCCTCTCAAGCTTCCTGCTAATGTGACCTGGGCTTCCAAACAAAGGAGGCTATCTTCTGCTGGCTGTTATGATTCCGTTAACAGGCTCCTGAGGGCTTTCTGTCAAATTGACCCTGAGACTGATAGAGACTCTCCCTGTCCTCCAGAAGACGGCTATCTCCTTGCCTCTCCTCTGTCATGTCCATAGGGACACACTGCTTAGCAGCTGTTTGTGTGTTCAGTGCACACTGCTTTCACTACATTAGGCACTTATATGATAATTTACACTCACTTTTATTTCTGTTATTTTAGCTCTTTTTAACTTCTGTGTCTATAATGTATTGTAATTAATGTCTGTCTGTGTTTGTGTGTTGATTAGAGTGCAATGACAGCAACCCATGCGAGGGTCTGAGTCGTCACGCGACCTTTGAGAACTTTGGGATGGCCTTCCTCACACTGTTTCGAGTGTCCACTGGAGACAACTGGAATGGGATTATGAAAGTATGAAAACACACACACACACACACATACACATAAATGATGACTGTATTATCTCATAAGCACAGAGAGAGCAATGACCTCCAAAACCAATTATGAAATAGTAAAGTGGCTTAGAGCTGAACAATGTCAACACTTTCACATCTTGGCTTGTACTTTATTAAAAAAATGTCATCTATGCTACAATCATCCTTAACATTTTCATAAAATTGATATAAAAAGGTAAATAGGGACAATATAAAACTAAAACTAATAATAACTGCTTACTGCTGTTAAAAAAACAATAATAATATGAATTACAAGCATACTGTTGTTAATTTCTTACAGATTCATCATGATATAATGCAGAATTTCTGTGGATTCATAACATTTGCGGATAGAATCTTTTCAGAATATGTTAAACTGTAATGTATGTCACAAACCCATCCTGAGATGGGGATAAAGCTGCACCCCTGGCTCAGCCACTGGCAGCGGCAGGAGGCTGTTGCTGCTTGTAAAGGACATCATTATTTAAACAAACCAATCTAGTGTGCCCGTACAACGCTAGCTGCAATGATCACTGTTCAGGGTTGCCATCAGTGCTGTCCTTAAAGGCAAAACAACCTCCACCATTTTTTACTCTCTCTTCTTTCTCCTTTCTTTGTTCCTTTTTTAAAAAACATTGTAGAATTACTGCTTTTCTCTTATGTATTTATTTATGTCACTTTTTTTTCATACATATACATGTGTCTTTGTGCAAGGAAAATAACTCACATTTATGTATTTGGCTATTTATGTCAAGTGCACAGGGGAGAGCTGTTCAGTTATTGTTATATCAGTTCTACACCTGCACTGTATAAAGTGTTACAGCAGCTGCACTTTCAGCACACACTCTGTTACCCTACTTCACTCCCACTGTCCTTTTTTTTCTCCTTCTTTTTTTAATGTAGCCTGTGATGTATTGGACAGGTAGTAGTGCAATTGAGCATATCCACCTATAATAACTGGTGATAACTGTTTCTCTTTCTCTCCATTCTGTCCCTCTTTCCTTCTGAATCTTTCTCTTTGTCCTTTAAGGACACGTTAAGGGAGTGTCGTAAAGAGGATCGTCACTGTCTCACCTACCTGCCCTTGGTCTCTCCGATTTACTTTGTCACCTTTGTGCTCATGGCCCAGTTTGTGCTGGTCAATGTGGTGGTGGCTGTTTTGATGAAACATCTTGAGGAAAGCAACAAGGTATAGTAACTAAACCATGAAAGATGGTCTAGTTACATAAAACATTTGTTTTACACCTGATGCATATCGACATTTACTATTAAATGTAGTCATTAAGTAAAAACTCATCTACTTGTGCAGGAGGCTAAAGAGGATGCAGAGATGGATGCAGAGATCGCCTTGGAAATGGCGATGGAGAGGCAGCGCAAGTTAAGCACAACCTCTAACAACAGTTCAGTGGGCGGGACCTATGTTGGTCCATGTCCACATTCACCTGGACAGGTAGGAAGGACTCTACTGTACTCATAAGTCAATGTGTAACGGAAGAAAGACGCATTGACAACATGTGTTTCTCAACATGTCCTTTCATTTGATCAATTAATTGTATAACAGTGTGTGTAATAGTGGGATTACTGCATAAAGACACAGTCAGTTCTAGATTTGTGTGGTCTTTGTCTCCCCCCATAGGAAGAAGAGGTGCAGTACGGTGACCAGGACCTGCTGTCGCCAAGGAAGATGTCTGTATCCAGGATGCACTCTCTGCCTAACGACAGCTACATGTTCCGACCTGTACGGCCCGCCAGCGCCCCCAACCCTTTGGAGGAGGTAGATCTCAGTCCCCAGCACCAGCATTCAGGTAACTCATCTGCTCAGGATTTAAATATTGGTAAATGAGATCAGCATTGAGTTTTGATGCTCTCTCTCTCTCTCTCTCTCTCTCTCTCTATCTTTCTACATATTAGACAGCCCCTGATATTGTTCTAACAGACACCGTTTGCTAATCCTTTTCAATAAACTTCACATGGACTAAGATTGTTCCTTAATGCATGCATGTCTCTAGTGCCAGACTAAAACCAATCCTTACAGCCGGCTAATGCTATGATTTAATGAAGTTTATATGGAGTCCTGTGTCCCCCAGTAGTTCTTAATTGTAGTTGTACATGTGAGACAAATGTTTGTTAAAATAATAGAGGTTTACAGTGTTTTTAAAGGCCCAATCCGGACTTTTTTTTTGTCATTTTGAAGCACTTCCAAATTGGGAAAGATGGGACTGACTCACAGCTTATTGCAGAATACATTACACCTTTGGGATTCAAAAGATGATCACCAACCAATCAGTTCAATGCAAGTCAAGTCCTCTTTAGGATGCTATATGGTAATCGAGCTATCAAGGCACAGTTATTGAATGTGTACAACGCAGAGTATGCAAATTTGTGTTTTGCTAGCATTCAACTACATCATAGTCCATGAGTCTTAGCCATTTGCAAGCATTATAAGAGCTGTTGAATGCTAACAAAGTAAATTTTTATCTTTAATGTTAACATTACATGGTTTCAAACTTTACTATTCAGTACAGTAGATATATGTACCTTTGTAGCTTAGAATCTGGACAGAAACCTGAAAGATAAACAGATTTGGGCTCCAGCAGAGACACAAATTCAAGCTTAGACAGAGAAAGGGAACAGGTGCAGGCTCTGGCAGTGAGAAATGGTCACTGAACACAGTGCTGCAGGGAAGCTGAAGGAGTGCTGATCAAGTGGAAGGTAGAACAAGAGCAAACTTGGTTCAGAGCAACAGCATAGTTTGTCAGCAGAGAAGGATCCATGTCAATCTGACGGAGCTTGTAACCTTCACCACACTGGCAAAATAACCTTTTCGCAGTTTAGAACATTCTCTTGTTGACAGATCGACATCTTTAAATCATCCTTTGTAAAGTAAATTTTTCAGTTCAATGGGAAATGCACACCAATTTCATACTGCATGACATTTGTGGTGCTTTTCCTTCCAGTTCCGACTTGGGTCTTTAAACACAAGGAGAAAAAAAGACAGATACAAGACAAGCTAGCAGCAGAATGAACATGCTGAGGACTTTAAGCACTGACAAGCACTGTTTTATCTGCAGTCAGATTCTAATGGCATGTTGTGGCCACGCTGTGGACAGGCCCAGCTCTGTCCCAAGGTACTGACTGTAGTGGATGAGCTGATCCTTGTGAATCTCTGCAACCTTCACACAGGCTCATCTGCTCAGCTCTGCAATGGCTGAATACTTGAATAGAATGACGGTTAACTTAAAGGCCAAGCTGCAAAGTCAGAAAACTATATACATAAAAAATGTTGTCAACACAGCTGTGGTCCGTTGTCTATTGTTCACTTTTTAAGATTAAAAGTTGCTGATTTATAATGTGTGGCTTTACAGCTTGGCTTGAAAGTACCACCTGAAAATGAACTCTAACTCTGACTTTGCTGCATTGTTTTAACCTGTTTTACTGTGATTGCGTCTGAACTCACAGGTGAACTGGACCTGTGTGTGCAGAATGCCTAAGACCCTGGTTACACACAGTCTCACAAACAGTTATCAAACACAGATTGAATTTATGATGGAGCTGCTTTCTCCTCATTTCTTTGCAATCACACTTGTATTTGGTGTCTGCTTTGGACCCCACGCGTTAGAGTGCTGTATGTTATCAGGACCTTAACACTCCCTGACTATCTGAATACAGTCACATGGAACTGTTAATGTAACCAGGATCTAATGCAGAATGTTACATCCAGCCAACTGGCCTTATATGATCCTATCCCTACTATACTATCCCTGACAGCCAGCTCAGAGCTGCTATCTTACTTATTTCTGTTTTGATGAGCAACCTACTGTATGTGCTAATCGTTTTTCATTCAGAAAACACTTTATTTTGACAGCAAATTTGAAAACTAAACTAAACAAAAACTTTGAATACTTGAATGAATACTGAATGTCCAAATCCAAATATTCTATCAAAATAAAGTGTTATCGAAAGTATATTTTCACACTGCTCAAATAAGTGTAATCATGCCAAAGTGGTAGGAAATAGTCAGTATGTGTGTATGTGTTTGAATATGCATGTGTTTTCTGCAAAAAATGCACGTGTTTGCAATGAGAGCGACGTGACTGTATCATGTCTGTGATTTAACGCTTTACATCCGTACCTTCAGGCTCAGTGACATCGGTCCACTCCCAGCCATGTGACAGTCGCGCACTGCTTCAGGTACCAGACGTTTCCCCTGTTCACCCCCGGTCACCTCCCACCCTCACCCTTCCCCGCATCGCCCCGCCAACCCCTAGCCCCTCCCCACGGGCCCTGCGCAGACAGGTGAGAGACCCTGTTTCAGCTGGCTACATACTTACACAGACATTCACATGTTACAATGTCAGTGTCCATTCAGGTTCACTGATGAAAGGTGTCATGGTGTGTTTTTATGTTGCAGGTGGCAGTTAAAGTGGATTCTGTGGAGTTTCAGGGTTGTGAGCAACAGGAGAGGCCAAACCCTATCCAACTGCCTTCCCCCTCCCCTTCTCCCCTCTCTCCTCATACCTCATCCCCATCTCCCCTGCCTCCTCCTCCTCCCTCCTCTCCCTCAGCCCTCTCTCTTCCACCCAGCTCACCTTCTGCCTTCCCACTCCCTCCTCCCTCTCCTCTGTTCCCTCTACTGTCTTCGCCCTCTCCCCTCCCTCCACCACCATCTTCCCCCTCGCTTCTTCTCCCTCCACCTCCCTCCCCCCGTCTCCCCCTGCGCCCTCCCAGCCTTCGGAGACCTAGACCACCCTCTGCTGCCTCCTTCTGTGACCCAGCAGATGAGGAGGTGTATCACATCACCAGCTCGGCCCAAAGGTGGAGAGACGAGGAGGGGGTCGGGCTGGAGAGCAGAGGGAAGGCCGGCCGCAGCCACTCCCTCTCCCCGTACACCACCCCGCACTCTCTCGACTCCTCCCCTCTTCCTCCCCCATTACCGCCTTCCTCCTCGAGGAGCGCACTCAGTCTGCTTGGGGTGGGATTGAAGGACCGTGACTTCAGGAAGGGTTTTAGCGTTGACAACAAGGGCTTCCTGGACAAGCCGTCATCATTGTTTGCAGGTCACCCTGACGACCAGCGGCGCCACTCGATCGAGGTCTGCCTTCCACAGGATGTCAACGCCAGTGACAGCCAACACTCCACACATGAGGCCCACCGGTCGGAAAAAAGTGGTCAGGCATTCCCTATGAGGGTGCAGTCAGTCGGGGGCGGCCACAGAAAGAAGAAGATGAGTCCTCCTTGTATATCCATACACCCGCCCTCAGAGAGGGAACACCCCCAAATTGCCTCACCGCCAAAACTGGCTGACTGCAGCATGATGCTGAGACGCAGGACACCGTCCTACGACTTGACCGCGCACACACAGTCAAACACGCACACGCAAGACGTCTCAGCAGA